CGCCCGCGCCCCCTTCCCCCGCCGGAAAGCTGCTCCCCGCGAGCTCCAGCGGCATCCTCCGTGCCAAGCCAACCGCTCCCTCCCGCGCGCAGAGCAGCCCCGCCCGTCCTGTCCCGCCCCGCCCCGCTCTGGCACCAGCCCCGAGCTCCGCCTTCAGCCGAGCTGACTACGTGTCCCACGCGCCTTTGCGCGAGGCCGGGCTCGCGAGAACTGCCGCGTGTGGCCTAGATCCGGGAGCCGCTGGTTGGGCCGCGAGCTGAGTTCCCGCGGAAGTGCTTCGAAGCCGATTTCCCTTTCCCCCTCCAAGGGGCATCGTCACGGCAACGCATGGGGCGGAGCCCGATGGCCGGGCCAATCAGAGGAGAGCATTGTACGAAGCTGCCCAATGGGGGCAGAGGCGGGGCGCTATTTGAAGCGGAGGGCGGCGCGCTGGGGCCGTAGCTGTGTCAAACGCCGGCGGGTGTGGGAGTCGCTCTCGCAGCCAGCCCGTGTCCCGTGCAGAGCTGCCGCCCTCATGGCGCTGGTCCGGCGCGCTGCGGTGAGTGCGGGCCGGGCTGGGGCGACCGCGGGGTCCCCTGCAGGCGGGTACCGGGAAGGGAAAGCCCGGGCAGGGCTGGGTCTGCGACTCCGGGCCCAGCCTGCTCTGCCCCGGGCGGGTCGCGGCAACAGCCCCGGCAGCTGTGGCCAGGCCGGTGGGATCACGGTCACCTCTGCCCAGGGGTGGGTGTTGGGTGGGGGCGCTTGGCTCCCCTGCATCCCCTCACGTGGGGACTCGCCTCACGCTGCTGTAACTCACTTCCCGTGCAGGCAAGGCCGCGCGCCAAGGGCCTGAGCAGTCTCCTGGGGCAGTGCAACACCTGGGGCTCAGGTATTGATCTCAGCTGTGTCTGTCAGGCAGGACACACAGCAGATGGCAAGAACAGCGCTTATCAGCTTGCCCTATGGCAGGGTTTCCCTATCTGTGGGTCGGGACCCAAATATGGGTTGCTGTTATATTTCAAAAGGGTCTCCAAGTATCTCCCCAGGTGGCTCTGCCTCCCCTCCGCTCCCCATTTTTGAATTGCCTTGGGTCACCAAGTCCTCCTGAATTGTCAAAATGGGTCCCCATCTGGAAAAGGTTGGGAACTGCTGCTCTATGGGAATGGGAGACAGAAGTGCTTGGGCAGGGAACTTGTTCTGGGAAAATCTTCCATGACTTTTCCAGAACAAGAAGAATGCCTACTGTTTCTCTTGAGCTCTGGGAGCTCTTCAAAAGTAAGGCTGCTATACAGCTGACTGTGGTGATCTCAAAAAAAAAAAAAATCTAATAGCACTTATAGACTAACAAAACACGTAGATGGTTTCATGAGCTTTCGTGGGCACAGCCCACTTTAAGATGTGTGGACCCAAATAAATAGGGGGAAAAAATGGGAGTGCAACTGGGGAAAAACATGTAGGCAGAGCTGGTAGTTTAAGAGCATCTAAAGATTGGGTAGTTAAGATCCTAGGATAGCAATTACAGAGGAAGAGTACTAAGGCAAGAATCTACAGACAAAGAGCTGTTGGCACCTTCAATGGAGATAATGGATGGCTGGGACATTATCAACCTAACAGTCAATGAAGGTGCCAACAGCTCTTTGTGTAGAGAATTGAATTTTTGTTGTTTTACAGTGCTTTATTATCTTTGCACTTGTACCCTAAAATTTCATTGCCCAGCTACCAATAAGTTGTTTAAACAAATGTGTTGCAATGGTAGAAGAAAATTGTCTAAACTGTAGGTATTGGCCGGGGGGAGAGGTGTATTTTATTAAAAAAAGTTGAGTAACACTGTTCTTTTGGAAACTATGTTGCAAAGCCTGAAATATGAACTAATTGCTCAGACACAAGGGACAACAAATTTAATTTCTACGTTGTGACCACTAAAATATTCTTACAGCAGAGTAAGTCTTCTCAAAGGCTTGTTCTCATGTAGCTCTTCCCATTTCTTAGCTTTCAACAAAAGGAGACATTACTATCACCCTTAGAAATCTTTCCTAACTTCACAGTAACAGATAGGTTTCAGTAAGGCAGTTCAGGGCTCTGCTCTTCTATCTGAAACTGAGTAAAGTACTTTGATGCTCTGACATACAAAGCATGCAAAATAACTGGCAACAATGCCTTACCATGTAGTGTAAAATGCATAAGGCAATTTCCTCTTTGAGGTTCTTTTGTCCCCACCTAATCTGGTCACTAAGCTGCATTTCTGTGGAGGTGATCCAGTTACAATCTGGTGGGCACACTAAGTAGTTAAACCACAGGTGAGCATTCTAAAACTGAACCTTAAAGCATTTGTTTCCAGTGAGGAAGGACAAGATTTGGGTGACTTCATTTCTGATTTCTGTAAACAGTTTTAATAGCACTCTCCATCATGCATTTGACCAAATCCTTTTATTCGCCTCCCTGTCCTGCTATACACAGTTGTGTGCTGGGAAAACACAGTGCAGTAGCATACAGGACTAGTGAGTGTGCCCAGATACTGTGGTGGTTGATTTTAAGCTTGGTAATCTGAAAGTAATTCTACTTGGACTTGATTTAGCTTTTTAAACCTTGCTTACATTTTTTTTCCCTTGCAGATTACTAGAGGGGTGGAAAATGCTGGGACAGGACTTAACAACAAAGGCAAAAGTCAAGTAACTAACAAAAGGGCTGCTCTGGAAGAGATTGGAAATAAAGTTACAATCAGAGGAACATATATAGCCAAGGTAAAGGTTTTGTTCCACTTTAGTAGGCAGAAAAGCAATTTGCTAGCTCTTATTAAATGTTCTTCTTTCCTCTGGTAGAAAACAGATAGCTTCAAAGTACCTATAAAAACTACAAAAGGAGCTACTAAGCCGGTAAATATAACTGCACAACCTAAACCTCCAGTTGCAGTGAATTTAACACTCAAAGAAGATCCTGTTCCAAAGGTAGGAAATTAATTCCTATACTATAGTTTTTACCCTCTGGTCCTCCACTCTAGGCCTTTCTAAGGCAAGAGCTTTAACAGTTCAGAAAAAGATCAGATCGATATTATCCCTGGCTTCAAACTATTGGCTCAGAGTAGCAACTGTCTTGGGATGTGACAGTTAACACTACCCTGTTAAGACTTGGAAAAAACACTGGTCAGATCATGAAAGATATCCGTAACTATGAAAAGGCTTTATGGGCTCAAATATTGTAGGTGTCTTAAAGCTAAGATGCCATTTTGGTGGCTGGCTGCTTAGTTTACCTGCCATTCAAACAACTTGGGGGAAGGGCAAAATATTGTAAAATGAGATGGTAGACCTAATGTACAGGCATCAGGAACTCTAATCTTTCCACTAGATTCTGTCTCCAACCCCTATGGATGTGTCCATGAAAGAAGAGGACCTATGCCAAGCTTTCTCCGATGTTCTGCTTAACAACATAGAGGATATCGATGCTGATGATTGGGAAAACCCTCAACTATGCAGTGATTATGTAAAGGATATTTATCTGTATCTGAGGCAGCTTGAGGTATGAAGGCTTAAGTACTACACATTCAAATGAAATTAAACTTTCAGTCTATTTCATATGGGTCTCTGTTTAACAGTTGCAGCAATCAGTACGTCCATACTATCTCAACGGGAAGGAGATTAATGGGCGTATGCGTGCAATTCTAGTTGACTGGCTGGTTCAGGTCCACTCAAGATTTCAGCTCTTGCAGGAAACACTGTACATGTGTGTTGCTGTTATGGATCGTTTCTTACAAGTAAGTATCTGAAATAAGCCTGCCCAACAGAGATGGGCTGGATCCAGTCTAAGCCTTTCACTTTAGACTGTGGCCATCCTGCCAACTCTCAGGCAGGGAGCAATCTCAAGGCTCAGCGTGGCTGTTGCATGTGCCTATCTGCGCAAGGGGGAGAGGGGAGCTTCGTGTGCTGCCCATACCTAGCATAATCACTTTGCTCCCATTGACTGCCCCTGCTCCCAGCACAATTGAACTCTCCCAGCCATTGGGAGCTGATTATGCTGGGTGAAGTGAAGGCAAACTGACCAATGGGAGCTCAGTATTCTGGGGTGGTGCATGAATCCTCCCTCCATGGCACACTGGAGGGTCCTGCTGTCTAGGAGCTACCTAAGCAAGTGCCTCCCAATCAGCCTGCCCTCTGGCACCAAAATCCCTTCCACACTCCCAACTCTTGCCCCAGGTCACCACCCTTTCCTTCCTTAGATCACAACTCTCATCTCCTGCACAGACACAGATCACAGCTTTCACAGACCTTGCACCCCTCAACTCTCCTGCATCCATATCTCCTCCTGGACCCTGAACCCCATCCCTTGCCCCTGGTCACTGCACCCGCCTTCATCCTAGTCCCCTACCTTGAGCTTTCTACACCCAACCTCCATCCTAGACCCCAAACCTACTCCATAGATGAGTGCAGCCCTTGACACTTTACAAAATCTTGGCAGGCCCCCATCGAGTTATTGCTCACCCTTGCTGTACAACATGATCTTGCATTAGGAGACTCATTAAATACACTCTAAAGTAACTCTTGTCTGATGCTTCTGGATTTTGGATGATAGATATTCCATGCAAACTTAATGTTAACTTTCTACCTCCCAGTTTAGCTCTGGGAGGGGTGTTCTGGCTACCCCAACTCAACTTGGGGACAGATGGATCCCAAGGTTAAATAGATGTATTGCATGCTGAAATTAAACTGACTCGCTAAGCAGATTCAAAGGTCTTTTTAATAGTTCTCTAAACCTGTTAATACAGATTCATCCTGTATCGCGTAAGAAGCTTCAGCTGGCAGGTGTTACAGCATTGCTTCTTGCCTCAAAGTATGAGGAGATATTCTCCCCTAATATTGCGGATTTTGTCTACGTCACTGACAATGCGTACTCTAGTGCTCAGATCAGAGAGATGGAAATGATGATTCTTAAGGAACTGAACTTTGATTTGGGACGCCCTCTGCCACTTCACTTCTTAAGAAGAGCATCAAAAGCTGGAGAAGTATGTACTTTTGTCTCAATTCTCCTGCTAATGAGATACAATTATTGGTGGTAAGGGAAGTTGGGGATGCCCATTTAGGCAGTGTGATCTGGCCTTCTGGTTTTAAAGCAGGATATGCTAAGACAGGGTTTCCCAACCTATGCATTGCCAAGTGGCTCTGCCTCCCTCTCCTCCTCCCCCCCCCCATTTTTGAATTGCTTTGGGTCACCAAGTCTTCCTGAATTGTCAAAATGGGTCCGCATCTGGAAAGGGCTGGGAACTGCTGTGCTAAGGGATGCTCACTTAAACAGAACAAACTGGTGTGTAGGATAGGTATGTCAGAGGCAGGAGCCAGTGCTGGGAGAAATGGCTTTAAAGCTGGTATCCCCCCAGCACTGTCTCTCTGGTGCTGCCAGTTCTCTCCTCCCCTGCCTGGGGCTACTGCTTAAAAAGAGGCTTCCCCTGAGCATGATCTCTCTAGTGCTGGGGGAAAGGGAAGGAGGGGGGGCAGAGAGGGCAAGGGAGACAGGGGTGCTGCAGCTCTGCCTTTTAATGTAGTAAAAGCTGCCTGGCTCTTACTACTTCATTAAAAAGGCAGAGCCACAGTGGGGTTAGCAAGCTGGGACCAGTGTGAGCCAGGAGTGCTTAGCCCCAGCTCGTGCTGCCTCTGGGGGCTAACCCTGCAGCAGCTCTGCAGTTTAAATGTAATAGGAGCTGGGCTTCTGCATGCCTGGCCCCTATTACATTTAAACTGCAGAGCTGCAGCAGGCTGATCAGCTAAATTACAATCTAACATCCCTATTTATATGGCCCACCCAACAAACAGTCCTTCCTTACAGAAAGGACTAGGCAGTAGTGAGTCATTTTACTCTGACTACAAAGTAATTTATGAATTGCCACAAAGACTGACAACTTGACAGTGTTACAACAGTTACAATTCTCCTCTTGAATCTTTTGTTCTCATAAGGATGTAACAACTACAGATGTGTAGCTGTCTGATACAGATGACTAGTTGGTTAAACAACATGGCTACATCTACACTGGCATGATCTTGCGCAAAAACGCTTGCGGAAGAGTTCTTGTGTTAAAGTAGTTGTGGGAGAGCGTGTCTACACTGGCATGTGCTATTGTGCAAGAGCATCCATGCCACTGTAGACGCTTTCTTGTGCAAGAAATTCATGTTGCCTGTCTACACTGGCCAGTTGTGCAAGAGAGCTTATTCCTGAGCGGGAGCATCATCGTTCTTGTGCAAGAAGCCCCGATTTTATACAATAGAATGTCAGTTTACTTGCGCAAGAACTCGTGGCCAGGGTAAAGAGGCAGCAAGTTTTTGCACAAGAGCAGCTGCTTTAGCGCAAGATCGTGCCGGTGTAGACACAGCCCATGAGGCAAGTAACCAGGAGCAGGGTGGCAGGTGGGAGCTGCCTCTTGTGTAATCCCTGAGATTTTCAGCAATTGTTTAATTACATGCATTAATATCCCTAGTTGTGCAGTAGATTGAAGGAGACAAAGATTAAAATCGAAGAGCAAAAGCTTTGCTTACCCTGTCACAGAATGGAAGCCTTATTAGGTGAAACCATTGGCTGTAATACCTTAATCAAAATTAAGTTATCCATTGTCTCACCCCAGAGAGGCAAGAGTAGGACTCCTCATTCTCTAGGTATGCTGTAGTACTTGCAAAAAGCACTGCAGGGAGTCTAGCTTTTCATGGTGAGGCAAATAGTGACCCATACCCATTAGGCTTCTGGTTAGACCAAACAAGTCTTGCTACCTGCTCTGAGGCAAAGGTTCTATTGCATCTTCAAGAGAAAAAGACCAAACTCCCACTTAACCAAGTTGCAAAGACTTGTATAACAGAGGGCAACAGGGTTAGCAACAACTCTATTCCAAGCAGAAGGAAGAACATGAAGTAGCTGTAAATCTGGACCACCTTAATGGTGCTACCATGAAATGGAGTGGCAAATATTATGACTTAACAAGCTATTGATCTTGGCAGGCTGATGCTGAGCAACATACGTTAGCTAAATACCTGATGGAGCTGACACTCATAGACTATGATATGGCACACCATCCTCCTTCAGAGATAGCAGCTGCTGCCTTATGCTTGTCTCAAAAGGTTCTGGGGCAAGGCAAATGGGTGAGTTGCTTTTTTTATTTGACCAGACACAGACGTCAGCTAAACTTGTGGGCTGTGCAAGTTATCTATGCAAAACATAGCTGGTATGATTACTACTAAGTTTCTGGTACTAATGAAACATTTGTATTTTGTTGCCCTTAGGCCTGACCAGTTCAGTGTGTGTTAGCTGGAGGGTTGGAACACTATCACAGTGCACTTGGCATGAAGGCCTATACTAAGCTACTAAATTTATCCTCAGAAATAATGGTGGGGGGAAAAGCCAGTTTAGCCACTAGGTCCCATGCCTTGAGTATTTTTCTTGAGTATTCTTTCTTTATCTGCTTAATAAGACTATAGTGAGGGCATTCTGAAATAGTTAGACCCAATAACTTTCAGTCAGTAAAGGCTTTTTGGTCAGTATCAGAATTCCACTTCAGGAAGCAATGTGGTCTGGTACCACAAAGAATAGTGACTGCATGAGAGCAAATTCCAATGACGGTTACTGAACTATCTACACTAACATCTTAGCCTGGCTTAGATTTTTGCCTACAATCACATCTTCCCCTTGGTGAGGAAGGACCATGTCAAGGCAATAGTGTAAAGCAGTGTTTCCCAATTTTATTTGGCCACAGAACCCCTAGTTGCCTTTTTTAAAAGGCCCCTGCCGCATTTTGTTGAGCCAGAAAAAAAAGCCCTTGGCCATGGCTCTTTCACAGGAGGCGGGGGAGTGCCGGCTCTTTGCAGAACCCTTGCTTTCGCTTTGCGGATTCCCGGGTTCCCCAGAGCACCAATTGGAAACACTGGTGTAAAGATACCACGGTAGGCAATGTAGTGAACATTTTACTGGGATGAACAGTCAAAAGTAGGCATCAGCCTGTGGCTCTCGGGAACTTGAAGTAAACTTCACCTGGATTATGATAAACATGTTTGAGTTGGGTCCTGCACTCCTTAAACTCAGACACTTTTGAATCGGTCCTGCTGTTGCAGGTCACTCCTTCCTTACCACTGTCAGCACAGAGGCTGGAAATGCCCTGAGCACCTGCTGCCTTTCCTGCCAGCTGAACCTGTTCAGCGCACACAGTTCAAGTTTTACTGTGGCCTTTTAATGTTTCTGATTTGCATTAAATCCTTAGGACTGCAACTTGGGTGCCATTACCTAAGCCTCATAACCAAAGATGATTCCGATCTAAGCTACACACAGATTGAGTTGAACGTGTTACCTTTTAATGTTTGGTTTAGACTGGATGTTAGTTTAGGTGATACTGTAGTGTCTCAGGCATTTTAGGCAACTATGGTAGGGGATTCTGACTAGTCTTGTATTGCAGGGTGTAAAGCAGCAGTTCTACACTGGATATGCAGAAGACAGTCTTACACTAATAATGCAACATATGGCCAAGAATGTAGTAAAAGTAAACAAGAATTTAACAAAATACACTGTAAGTATATGGTAAGGCTAAATATCTATACTTGAAATTAAGTAATATACTAGAGATGTATATTGCCTAAGTTTCTTTTCAATATTAAACTTTCTGGACTCTTTGAAAGTGCTTCAGTGGAAATAGGTAGTAAGTAGTCTGATTTCTCTAATGTAGCACAAACTGTAAACTTGTGTACTTGGTATTAATAGTCTCTCTAATTCCTACAGGCTGTAAGGAACAAGTATGCAAGCAGCAAGCTCATGAGAATCAGCACAATTCCTCAGCTGAACTCCAAAACAGTCAGAGACCTAGCTTCATCACTCATGGGATAATCCTAGGTAGACAATTTCTGCTCCATGCACTTTGTCAACATATGCCTATTGAGGCAGAACTGCTGCTTTTTGTACATAGCCTTCCAATCTTAGCACAGACACCTCAGACTGTGAAAGCAAACTTTTAAGACTTGACCTCTACTCTTCTATACCTAGAAATAAAGCTCCTTTTCTAAAAAACCTTTCATTGGGCATTACTTGTGTAGATAGTGCATGTGACAACTTTTTGCACTTAGTGTTGACTTGAGATGACCTTTGTCATAGGCCAGCAATCAGATAATCTACATTTGTCATAGTTAACCAGGCCTGGTTTAACCTGATTAGGGTATAAGCCGTAACTTATACCACAGCAGTGATTCATGTCAACAAGGTTTCATATTCAAATTTCTACTTGTGCTCCTACCAATCCTAAATAGATTTGCTACAAATCTCCTGCAGTAGCCATATATGGCTGTGGCATAGTATTACAACATCATCTGCCCTCCGTGGCTTGCTAGGGGTAGAGGTACATTTAAATCTGGTCCAAGGCAGGAGCTTATGTTGTCTGAACAGGGTTTTAGTCATGAATAGCAATTAGACATTTAATCGATTCCCTACCTTAATCAGAACCACCTTTCCATATAAGCAAGTCCTAGGCTAGCACTGTATGCAAATTGCTGTCTAGCAAAGTACATTAGCAAAACAAATCTTTATACCAATAATTGGATCTTCCTTCCCCTATAGTAGGGGCACTTCTTGGTCTCATAGGCTATAGCATGTTGTCATGGATTCTAGTGGGACTAAATCTGTATTGTATACTCACATGTGAGTGCACAAATAAACAATGAAAATGGCAAATGATGATGATCTGACCAGGCACTTAAGCACCCCCCAGGCTTAAACTATCAAGTACAGCTGAGTGAACTGCCTTGGCTGGTCTCCAAGATGGTGATGAAAAAGGGTTTGTGTTTTATTTAAAAAAAAAAAAAGCATGTCTTAACTAACATAGTAATGCTGTTGCTAAAGCAAAATGTTTTGGTGACAACCATTTTTACTTCATGCTGCAGTTTTTATTGTGGTTGTCTAAACTCACCTCCCTGTTCTAACACCCTCAGGACCTGAATGGTCCCAACAAAAGTTTGCTGGACCAGAGGAGGTTAGGCCTCTGGGGATTTCCTTGCTGAGCCCTGGCCAGACTGGCAAGCTGGCAGCAGCAGGATGTGGAAGGCTCAGGTGCTGGACCACTGGCCCTGTAGGTTGCTTGCTACCAGACTGGCTTGGCTTCGAATGTGGTCCAGCAACATCCAGAGGGAGTGGGTGGGGGTGTGTGCGTACATACACTAATTAGCCTGTATTACACCTTAACACCCAGTAAAGGGGGTCTGGCTAGAGCTAAGTGTGAAAGAGCCATAGGCAAATTCCCCCATTACATGTTCTCTTAATTCTGAACTTTTAATCCCTCTTACATTTCACCTGCTGCTTATTGACAGATGCTTTTCCCTAATGTTGCTGTTTCTCTGGTTGTGTAGCCTCACCCTGTCCCCTTGTACCCAGCTCAGCACAGACAGCTGAGTAGAAGGAATGCACTCCTAAACTTGTTCACCAAAACAGTATCCTGTCCCCCAAATTCCTCTTAAAACGAATGTTACCTATGACTGGTAAGTGATATGTAATCAAAGCACAGGCTATACCACCTCCTTTCACAAAACTCTAAAAATTCTATCTTCAACTGCTTTTATAATAAACACGGCAATTCTCCACCTTGCCTCTGTTATGGTGTTCAGTTGGTGCATCATATTTGACTTTGGATTTAAACTGATAGCGTTATCTGTCTCCTTCCACTGGGTTCTTTCTGTACGGTACTCTGCCTTCCCTTTTGGGCTCTTAATCTACAATCCAGGTCTGTCTACAGTGGCCCCTTCTTTGGAGGAGGCATGCTAATTTAGAACTTTAGAATAGGGAAATCCATGGGGGATTTAAATATCCCCCACGGGATTTAAATAAAACATGGCCACTGCTTTTTTTCCGGCTTGGGGAAAAGCCAGAAAAGAGCGTCCACACTGGTGTGATCCTCTGGAATAAAGCCCTATTCTGGAGGATCTTATTCCTACTTGAAAGTAGGAATAAGAGATCCTCCGGAATAGGGCTTTATTCCGGAGGATCGCGCCAGTCTGGACGCTCTTTTCCAGCTTTTCCTCAAGCTGGGGAAAAAAAGCAGCAGTCATGTTTAAATCCCCCACGGATTTCCCTATTCCCAAGTTCTAAATTTGCATGCCTCTTCCAAAGAAGGGGCCAGTGTAGATGTAGCCCAGGAGTCTTTGGAGGAATTGTGGTGTAAGGGCAGTTTAGGTTCATCGCAGGCTCCAAACCAAATTTAAACTTCAGAAGATTGCATTTTAAAATGCACTTAATGCTAGATTTTGTAGTACTTCCCTCAAACCACTCTGTGGAGATTACAAATATGCAGTACATCCCTCTTGAAATGAAAGAGCCTCTTTACCTACTTGCAGACCCTACTATGGCTGTGCGCTGGAAGTTTGGTTATCCATTCTGGAATGAGTTGCTTCATGAATGACTGGAAAACAAATACTACACATTCAGCTCTTTGGTGCCTGTGGTTTATTGAGAGACGGTTAGGGGAAAAAATGGATACTGATAGCAGCTGCCATTTTACATTTGGGGGGGGGGGGAGAGAGGAGGGAACTGGGTTTAAAAAGCATTAACACTGATTTGATCAGGAATAGTGCATATTTGTATGTACCTGGCATGACACAGCTAATAAAACTACCTTATGGATAAGTACAGTGAATACTACATTATACATTCATACATGTTTCTACCATATTAGATTTTTTTATATACAGTGTAATT